TATTGGATTGATGAGGGGTTTATAGATGAAATGGAGACTTGGCAAGCAATGAAGGATGAGGGCTATGATATTCTGAGGAAGCTTGAAGATAATTGTTTGTTGGAAGATGGGGAAGAGGAAGATTGTGTGAGAATGCATGATCTTGTCAGGGACATGGCATTGAATATCACAAGAACAAATCCCCAATTCTTGGTAAAAGCAGGCTTGAGATTGAAAAAGCTACCAGAGAAAGGAGAATGGACAGAAAACCTTGAAAAGGCTTCTTTAATGAGAAACTTCATTAAAGAAATTCCTTCAAACATTCCATCATCAAAATGCACCATGCTAACAACCTTGGTGCTGTCTCACAATAATTTGTTGACAATTCCAGAATCTATCTTTGAGTATATGCCTCAGCTCAAAATTCTTGATCTTTCCTACAATCAGGAGTTTAGTAGCCTACCAGATTCCCTCTCCAAATTAGTGAATCTCACTACATTATTGTTGCAGGCGACATCCTTAATAGAGGTACCATCTCTATCCAACCTTCGAGCTTTAAAAAAGTTAGACCTTTGTAGGTCAGGACTCGAAGAAATCCCTAAAGGCCTAGAAATGTTGACAAATCTCAAATATCTTGACATTTCTGGAAATAGATTTTTAGAATTTTCTCCTGAGGTAGATGAAATAGCTAATGGAATATTATCAAATCTCTCCGAACTTCAGTACTTAGTGGTAAGTTGGGAAATAGCTTTGAAAGGGGAAGTGATTGGGGGATTGGTCAAGTTGGAAGGTTTTGGTGGCCGGTTCCCCACATGCCATGAGTTGAGCATCTTTTTTAAATGTTTGCAAGATCGAGGAGATGGAGATGAGTTCAATATGTACGCTGTTGATGTTGCAAGTCATTTCTCTCTTGAATCTTATTATTGTTCTCCTTTGGAATTAGAAGAAGGATGTAATAAAAGTTTGGAATTCAACGACATGTATGTTGATGGAGAAAATACTTTGCTGTTGCCTTCCATACAAGAATTAGTTATTCAACGATGCAACAACTTAAGAAGTTTAAACGATATTTCTGCCATTACAGATGCAAAAGAATTGAAGTGCTGTGTGATTAGGAGTTGCCAAGGCCTGGAGTGTGTTCTTTCCTCATCCATAAATCCACTGGTCCAAAAGCTTAAGGTTCTGGATCTTTATAGGTTGGAAAAGTTGGATGCACTGTTTGAAGCAGAGGCAATTGCTAAGTCACCACTGCCACCAGACACTTTTTCGTCTCTTAAAGCAATAATTGTTTGGTACTGTAATAAAATAAAGAAGTTGTTCCCCTTTTGGATGTATCTGCAAAGTCTAGAAGAAATTGATATTAAAGCATGTAAACAGATGGAAGAAATAATAGCATGGGATGTAGAAGAAGCAGGAAGAGAAAAAGAAGGGGTCATCCAACTTATTCTTCCAACATTGAAAAGTCTGAAATTGAGAGAATTGCCCGCATTGAAGAGCATATGTAGCATATGTAGCAGGAGGGCAGTAATGGTCTGTGATTCTCTTGAAGTGATTTGGATTGACGACTGCAAGAGTCTAACGAGGATCCCTCTGTATCTTCCCTTGCTTGATAACGGACAACCATCTCCTCCTCCTTCCCTCAAACAAATCAACGTGTGGACGCAAGAATGGGGGGAATCGTGGTGGGAATCGTTGGAGTGGGACCATCCCAATGCAAAGGATATCCTTCAACACTTCCGTAAATTCATGTATTAAAAGGATTCGAAATCAGGTTAATTCTCTACTTCTTTTTCTTCT